TTAATCCTTAATTGAGAATAGTGAACGCATTGCCAGTCATTCATCAGCTTGACTGTTCATGCGCTTGCTATGTCTAAAGCACACAGAGAAAGGATTGAGTACACTTGGGTAACACTAGAATTTTAACCTCTGGATATCTGAATACGAATTGTCCATCAAAAGCAGTTTTCAGGATATTGAGTTGTTACAAGTGCATTGGGACGACGATCAAAGGTTTGTTCAAGATTAGGTGTGTGACTATACGTCGAGAATTTTGTAATACCTATTTTATTTAGAGAGTTCGCAATAAACATTGGGGAAGAAGAGAGGTATATCGGTGGATTTTGTTACATATCTCGTGGTTGCTCAAACAAAATCTTACACTTTCGGCGGATCAACATTGTCCATATAAAGGTCCATATAAACATTGTCCAGATGAAGGTGCGTCATGGCTGGTCGGCTTTATTTGGCGCTCCTGCAATGTTTGATTTTCCTGCAGTTTTCTTACTTTTTAAGAGCAAATTTTCGCATTGAGCGTAATAATTCTTATGACCTGATTGTGGAAAATGAGTCTCATAAGGGATTTAAGGAATTTTTTACTGATGCAATTTATCATGAATGTACAACTTCTATCAGGCTATCATTAAGAAATGGTTTCCATAGAACACGACGAGCTGAATTCAAAGGTACCAAGCATGGAATCACAAGCTTAGCTATCCCAGGACATAATCCTCCTTTGGATATAACCGTTCATCAAGATATCTCTAAAAATCCTGGTCCTACTGGTTTTCATGGATTGCTTCATCGGTCAATTGATTCTGCATCGATTATTGTACAACAGTCGACTACAGATCTCATGGATATATTTATATGGATATACTTACAGAAACATTAGCTCTACGCTAACCAACCAAAAACCAGATTTAATGGACTTATTTGCTGAAACATATACCAATATTCAAAGATTTCACTCTATTCATAATTCAACCTCAAACTCGTCGAATATGAATACTAATTTTACTCAAGAATACAATAACTCAATTCCTGTGAGGATTACTCCACGCATTGATGCTAAATATGCGCCTTCCATCAACAATTACAGTTCACGCTCACTGGTTCCAATTAAGTCAACTGCCACTACAAAGCCTAATCAAACTAACACTACAAAAAACACATT